CTAAATCTAAAGGCTCGTTACTTCTTTCAATAGAATGAAATGAAGTCCTAGTTAATTTTGCTTCTACATAAGTTTCACACTTGTGATTTGGATTAATCGTGAAAGATGATATGTGATCTAACTTGATTAATCTACATAAAGAGTCAAAATTCACATGGCTAAGTTTACGATGCCACAATTCAGGGAACTCAAGCATATAAGCAGAAGAAAATGATTTCTCATTCATTTTTGGGATAATTGTCATTACATTGAGCTTAAACATATTGCCACACAGACTTCGCTTTTTGTCAACACGACCTTATCAGACTTAAAAACCATGTGGAAGCCATGCTTGCTTAAGAGAAACCCCGAGACAAGATTCTTACGAATGTCAGGCATATACAGGACATCTTTAAGAGTTGGCTCTTTTCTTGAAATCATCTTCAGGACCACCTTGCCTTTCCCCTCAACAGTTGAGGTCGCAGAATTCCCCATGAACAACTATTGATCATTTGAAACCGGTTTAAAAGTTGTGAACGTCTTCTTGTCAGCATAGATGTAGCGAGTGACCCCAGTGTCCACCCACCATTCTTTTGGGTTGGACCCTACCATGTTCACCTCATAGACGATAGCTGACAGATGCATATCGCCCACATCTTGAGACAGATCCTTTATTTCAGCCATGTGGGCCCAGCTTTTGTTCTGTGGAGGGTTCCTCTTGTAGGGCTTCTTCTTCTTGCGGCAGTCTACTACCCTATAGCCATCGCTTCCACATGGCTGCCTGGAATGATTCACGCAGTAACATTCCTTCTACACGAATCTTGTGCAGAATCACTTGAAAATTTTGGACTTGACTAATGATAGTTTTTAAGACCCCCATTTTGAAGTCTAGAAACTGACCAACGACAAATTTCTTTGCCCCAGCATCTTCGGTCTTGTACTTCTTATTCAAAGCATCCCACAACTCCTTTGCCAACTTCTTGGCATTCAAAATAGAGTTCCAACAAAAGAAGTCTGACTCTTAGTTGCACGAAGCGGGAGCGAAGGTGGGAGCAAGAGCAGGAGCAGGAGCTGGAGCGAGGAAGTGTGAGCCGATAGAAGTTTCTTAGGTTGGGAGCGCCTTGGGGAGCGGTAATATATATATATATTTTTAATTGTTATTTTTTAAATATATTAATTATATAAAGATGAGTTAAATAGTTATTTTTAAATATATTTATTATTTTTATCTTAGGTATTATTTTTATTGATAATATTTTTAATTTATTTATATAATTTATTTTTTTATTTTTAATTGATATATATATTATAAATAAATAAATATAACAAATAAGGAATAATAAATTATGTTAAAATAAATAAAAGACAAAAATTGGATAATTTATTTTATAGATTTTATTAGATTTTTTTTATTATATATGATTTAATTAGATTTATTATTATATAACAAATTATATTATTTATTATATTTATTATATGTTAAAAATCGGAGGGGGAGACAAAACACAAATTGACGAGAGAGAGAGAGAGAGAGGAGAGAGAGAAGGAGAAGAAGAAGAAGAAGAATAAGAAGAAGAAGGTGAGCAGATCGAAGGCGATGTTGAGAAGATCGAAGGTGAGTAGATCGCGACTAGATCGAAGGCAAGAGTAGATTGAAGGCGAAGGCGATGTCAAAGGTCGATGTCAAAGGTCCAGGCGATGTCGAAGGAGAAGGCAACGACGAGAGCAGGTTTCTATCTCTCTCTCCCCTTTACGATCTTATCTTAGATTGAATCGCATTTCTCTCTCCACAGAAATGCGATTCTTACACGTTTCTTTCTAGGAAATGCAGAATCGCAATTCTTACTCAGAATCGCCACCTGTTTGCACGACTCCTGCAACTAAGGTCTGACTGCCTCCAAGCATCTAGAGCCATGAGTTTCTGCTTGTTTTGCTTATTCTCGTCCACGGCTAGTGGATCTTCACTCAAAAACTTCGCAAGACTAAGAGTAGTCAGGTAGAACAACATCTTTTGTTGCCATTTCTTGAAATTCACTGCAGCGAACTTCTCCAAACGCTCATGATGGTTGAGCAGTCCCCTTAGAACAGAAGGAGTAGACCACAGAGGTTATAGCAGGGGTTGGCAAGCCAATTGACCTTGGGTTCAAATCCCTACCAATATTTGTAGCAGCAGCATTAGTGACAGTTGCCATTTCTGAAAAATATAACCGAATTTCACTATTTTGTTTTAAGCTTAATACTGGAAAATCCCAGAGTCAGAAATTTAATTCAAGATTAATCTCACCACTTACTCTAGAATTGAACATGGTTAGCAAAGTTTCCAGGAAGACTAGAGGGGTCACACCGGTCCCACTTAAGACCCAGTTAACCTTAGACAAAACTTTCAAGAGCATGTTGACTCCTAGTCCATGGGAAACAAATTTAGAATTAAGTTTTCAAAGGGATAAATTAGGTTAAATCAAACCCACTTCCAAAACTTACAAGCAATTAAAAATTGCTAACCAATTTTCAAGCAAATAAAAATGCTTTTAAAAATAGAAGCAAACAACCTTGCTTCAATTAAAATTGGCATTTTAACCACTATTAAAACTCAAGTAAAAAATTGCTTCAAATATAAAGAATAATAAACCAATCCAAATAAGGATTCTTTTTGGTCTAATTTTTTTTTTCTTTCTACACTTAGGTATTTCTGTTCAACAAAAAAGTTAGTAGTCCAAAACTTTTGGTTTTATGGTCCCAAATTCTATTCATTTGGTTTTGTATTTTTTATTTTTTTCTATTCTCTTTCGCATAGGTATTCCTGTAAAGAAAGTTAGCAGAAAAACACAACAAAATACAAAACAAATAATTGAAATAAACTGTACAGTAACAAATTATTTAAAACCTTTTAGCAATCTACTTAAAAGCAAAATTAAGGAAAGAATTAATAACCTTTACAAGTTGCACAATAAATTTGTAAATAATTTTAGCACCTAACATGCAAATAATTCTAGAGCAATTAACATGTAAATAATTTATGCAAATAATTCTAGAAATTAGAAAGCAATTAGCATGCAAATTAGATTACAATTTTAGAAAATAATAAGCATGTAAATGTAAAAATTTATGTATAAAGAGAAATAGAGAATTGTATAGATATTGATTGTATTATTGATTGATGTAATATTATTGATATATTACAATGATTCATGATTCCTATATATAGAAGAGGGTGAGTGTGTAGTAGGTAAGGAGTAGGTGAAGTGGAGGTGGTAGTGGTGTAGTGGGTTAGGTTTAGTGGAGTAGGTGAGATGGTAGTGGTGACCTTTACAAGTTGCACAATAAATTTGTAAATAATTTTAGCAACTAACATGCAAATAATTCTAGAGCAATTAACATGTAAATAAATTATGCAAATAATTCTAGAAATTAGAAAGCAATTAGCATGCAAATTAGATTACAATTTTAGAAAATAATAAGCATGTAAATAAGAATTAGAACATGCAAATTATCCTACAAATCTAGGATCTAATAAACATGTGAATTAAACTAGAATCTAGAAAAGATGAACATGTATAATATACTAGAAAGTAGAACACATTTAGCATGTTATCTTTAACTAAAACTAAAACACCCATAAGCATGCAGATTATATTAAAATTTATATAATAAAAAAGCATTCAAATCATGGTAGGAACCTAAAAATCATACACAAAAAATAAAATTATACTAGAATTGGACACTAAGAAAAATATATTTATTTAGAATAAATTTAAATTTCTAATTCCAATTTGACATATGCAACAAACAGTTAACACTCCTAGGGCATAAATAAACATATATATTATATTGAAATATAATTAATTAAATGGGAACACAAACTTGCACAACAAAGTTGAAACTGTTAATATTACTAACAGAAGTCTAGCATGAAATGCAGTGGGTTGTTAGATTTTGTCAATTGACAGATGCAAAGTAGAGAACTCATACAGTGGGGAAATTAAACTAGTACAAATCATTATGAATCTATTTGTCCAATTTCATAGGAAACATATAATATGTTTTAAGATTGTTGTACAAATTGTGAATTAAATAACAGAAATAGATTCATGGTTAATTAAATTGGAAAGACCATAGAATAAGAATTCATGGGAAATTACATCTTGATGAACAGAAATACATATAACAAATTAAAATGCTAAAATGAGAAAAGAAAGCAAATCGTAGCTTGTTTGATACCACGGTCTCCTTAAAATAGATTCATCGCTTCACCACAGGTGTTGGAGGTATGTCGGTGTCTCTCTCCTAGGATATGACGGTTTAGAACCTGCTACCGTAGTAACACCTGTTTAGCTCCGGCGAACTGACAATGGTTGCACTCAAAGAAGATTATAGGAGCAAACTGACTATTAATTTAGAGAGCAAAAATTTTGTACCTTAACCAAAGAGGATGGTCTCCTTTTATACACAATGGGGAAAAGAGGAGAGATTTAGCTTATTTTGTGATTCTATGATCATATTCACAATGTTAAGCATGCCCTTATATAGGCATCTTTGGCATGACATATGGCAAGGTCATGTGTACCTCAAGGCTTCTAAAACCATGTGTACGTCATGGTTAGGCCATGTGTGTCTCATGGTCTTAGACACTATTAAGGCCATGTGTCCCTCATGGTCTAAGACACTATTAAGGCCATGTGTCTCTCATGGTTAGACCATGTATAAAATGCTCAATCATCATTCTCAATCTCTCATTCATAAGGCCAACTTTATGAGACAATTTTCATTTAATTCTCAAACCAAAAAACCATTTTTTTCCGACAAGTAATGCTAGGGTTCTTTATTAGAGTTATGTAACGTGCTTATGTTGTGATTATCAAACTTGTTAGGCCTGTCTATAGATGGTTCCTTGTAATGTGTCCAGATTCAACACTAAATGGAATCTGGGAATTAGCCTGCTTGAGCCCAAAACAAAACTATTAGTTGTGTTTTTTTCTTTTTGGAACGCAACATTTTACTAGAGATGTGCATTTGTTCAACAGGTACCAAGTAGTGGCTGGTGTTATTGAACAACGAATTTTAGAACCACTGGTGCACCAGCACAAGTTAATTCTAAGTGCCCTTTGCTTTGCTGTCAGAACAGGCAACACATTCTTGGGTTCATTACTGTGAGATTCTTTGCCCTTTTAACTTCTAGAAACTTATTAATTTTTTAATATCGTTCCCTTTTTAGTACTTCACCTCTTAAAACTTCCAAATGCTTTTAACAGGTGGGTGGATTATGCTCGTTGGACAGGCGTTCAAAAGCCTCAAGAATCAGAATAGCAGGTTAGGGGTGCATTCTGTTGCCGCTTATCAAGTTTTCAGAACTGAATGTTTGGTTTGCTGCATTAGTCGACATCACAGAAACGCTGGTCACTGGAATTTGATTGAATCTCTCTGAAGTTTAGACCTTTGTATACTTAAGTTTCTGAGATGTCTATGCATATCTGGAAGGCTCATTGCCAAACTGACATCATGTTGAATTAATTTTTCCATTTTAGTCATTGTGAGCATAATTTTGTACATAAAGAAATGTATTTTTTTCTGATGGTATGTGAATCGAAGAAAGTTTGTGTTGTTTGTATAATAGTATGGGTTTCTATGGAATTGTGTGCTTGCATATGTTTGGATGTGAGGTCTACTGTTGAATCTAGAGGATGTGTGCTATAAATTTGAACAAAACCATCCAGTGTTCAGCATGTTTGTACTACAGCTTAATTGGATGATATGATTGGTTTTTTTTTTTTGTTTAAAATGGTGCAAAAACCAAGTGATGGCAAAGTACAGGTAGAGCATTTAGGCAGCAACTTGCGGCCTCATTCAAAACTTTTGAAGTCTTTTGATTTAGTGAAATGCTCTTCCAGGCCATCAAAGAATGTTTACAAAATAGCATAGTCATCATTAAAAGCCCATATCGTGTTTTTATTTCTAATGGTATTTTACTTTTGATCACCTTCTCAAAGGTGAAATGCTCTTAACCCAAGTCTATTAGGTATGTCATTTCAAGAGCATTTGAACATGACATTCACCCATCCAAATGACTTTGACATGAAAAACTTGTTTGATAATAATTTTTTGTTTTGGTTTTGTTTGGGGAAGACATGGACCCACTAAGCCTGCCCATGATTTGTAGGGTTTGAGATCATGGTTTAGGCCCATAGGGCCATGTTAGGCAAATAAATATTTTTGACCCGATTATAATATAGGCCGAGCTTGGGAAAGTAATTCAGGCCCAACCTGGCGGGCATAAACTATATTTTTATAAATATATAAATATATACATATATATATAATTATACGGAAAATTAGTTTATGTTATAACTAGCAATGTATAAGAGTTTAACAGTACCAAAAATTAACTTGATAGTTAAACTCTCTAGAAATTGAGATTTTGAAAGGATAAGGACAAATTTTTTACATACATGGTCCAAAATATTTAACTTAAAAATCTTAAGTTTTCTCTTAATTTTTTTTTTCCATAAAGATTTTTTTTCTCGGTCTCTCTGTCATTTATGATGTCTTTCTCTCTTTCTGATCAATGATTTCAAGTTGAGGCCACCGCTATAACTGTATTAACCATCACCGCCACCATTTTTACTATCATCGCCCATTCATCAGTGTCACTCCAACATCATTCACTACGATTCTTTATACTTCAATTGCCTTTCAATACTGTTCGCACATCCCCAACTCAAATCTAGTTGATTTCATTATTTCTTCTTTCTCTCTCTCTCCAACACCGTCTAGCTATCGCCATTTGGACATCTTTAGCTCAGATTCGATTGATCTTACCGTTTAGTCTTTATCTCTTTCTACAACACCGTCATTCGTACCCTGGCTATTTATATGTTGATTTTGAAAATAGATGTGGTTGGTTTATATGTTGTTGATTGATAAAGATTTGATTATTTTATTTGATTTGTGTTTTTTATTTTTTAAAGTTCATTGATTTTAGATTTTGTTGAAATTAGTCAGTGAAATTTCACTGACTTGTGCAATTGCATTGGCTTCAATCAGTGAAATTTTACCGACTCAGTCTTTGACTTGCACTGACTTAAGTCAATGAAATTTCATTGACTTGTGTAATTTCACTGATTAAGCCGCAGTCAATTTTTGATTGATGCCAATAAAATTTCACTTGACTTGTGCAATTGTACTAGCTTCAACCAGTGAATTCTTGAAATTAAGGACCCTAACTTTTGCAATTGACCTTCAATTTTTAATCTTTTAGAGTTCAAAAAAATATTTTTGACTGATTTTGCACAACGATATTTCTCAGTGTAGAGTCTGAGAAATTTCACTATATATATAGTGAAATTGTATTGATTCAATATAGAAAGCTTTAAAATTTATTATTTTAAAACCTTCAATTTGAACTTTTTAGTAATAAATTTAGAATAAAGGATCTAATGTTTGTAATTAATAATCAATTTTAGATTTTTTAGTGTAAAAAATATATATTTTAGTGACTCTACAAATTGGAAATTCACTGTGTATGAAGTTATAGAAATTTCACTAACGTAATAACGAACACAGTAAAATTTTATGAATTTTTTTCTTCAGTAAAATTTCACTCATGGATCTTAACCTTGTTTGTTCGAGGACCTAAACTACTATTAGAAAATTGTTTCTTAATGATGTTGCATTCTCTAATAGTCCGGCGGATTTGGATGGGTTTTCAGGACTTGGTATTAAAAAAATAGTCCGGCGGATTAGAAATTTTTTTATTTTTATTTATTTATTTATTTTTAACATGTCGGGTATTTTTTTTGAACATTAATGTTTAATTTTTTGTATTTTTGGTTAAATAAAAATCATCATCTTATTTGTTTTATTTTATTTTTATTTTTTAGAATTTTTTACATGTTGGGCATTTTTTTAAAAACATTAATGTTGAATGTTTTTGTATTTTTTTTATTATTTTATATAAAAATAATTTAACAATCCCTACACTAACAACTATCATCAAAACAAACACAATTTACTTAGTTCCCTCACTAACAATCATCTCACTATTAATCCCCTCACTATCAATCCCTTCCATTCTACCTCTAAAAACAAACGGGGCCCTACATATTTCCGTAAAATTTTCTAGTTTTTGAAAATTTTAAAAATGATCTTTTTATTAGTGTTTCTTGTTGTCAAACCACTGTGTTATTTTTTAAAAAAATATTTCAGCTAAAAAGTTCTAAAAAGTCAATCAAACATGATATTAAATATTGAAAGCAAATTTACATACTAATATATATATATATATATATATATATATTTCTCTTTTATTTTGGACAATCTTGTTGGAAAAAAATGGTTTTTTTGGTGAGTTTAATGTGAAATTAAAGTAGGTCCTAACCATTGGTTGAGGTGGGATTACATGAGTTTAGATTCTTTATAACAAGATCTTTACACCACAAAAAGAATGACAAAAAATCATTAAGATTTGAATGAGAAATTGACTCATTAAGTTGGCCTCATGATAGAAGTGTTAGGAAAAGTGGCTGCAGGATTACACACAATATACATGTGTATAAAACCTGGTAACTCCTTTGTATTCATGACGGATTAAAGCCATCAATTTTGTAATTTTTGTCTTGGGAATTTTGCAAAATTAAAAACTCCATTTGTTGCAGGAGCCTTTTCCTCTCTCCTTCCATGTGTATAAAAGGAAACCATCTCATTCATTCTTCTACACCAGAAAGTTTGCTCTCCCATTGTATTCAAAGTTTTCTCTAGAAATTTTTATTCTTCATGTGTGAGAGGGTGCTGTCATTGTTGGTTCGCCAAAGCTAACAGAAGGTGCTTCTGCATTAGTCGGGCTAAATTATCGTATCTTGGGAGACAGAAGTCGACGTACCTTTAACATCCGCGGTGAGACGGCAAATCTATTTTAGGATTGTTGTACAAATTGTGTACATTAAACAAGATAAATATATTCATGATTTATCAATTACATTATAGAATAAGAAAAATATGTTGAATATTACAACCATATTTCATAGAAAAACATAATACGATAGACTGGGTTGGAAAAACATAATTTTTTGTTGACTTTAATGTGAAATTAAAGTAGGTCCTAACCATTGGTTGGGATAGGATTAAATAAGTTTAGATTCTTTGTAACAAGATATTTACATCACAAAAAGAATAACCAAAAATCATTAAGATTTGAATGATAAATTGCCTCATGAAGTTAGCTTCATGAAAGAGGTAGTGGGATTAGTGTGTATAATATGTTTTGTAACTCCTGCAACATTGCAGAGGTTAATGGTGCATTAGTGACCATCTATAAAGGTAGGTTAATGGTGCATTAGTGACCAGCCATAAAAGCTGGAGGCCCATATTCTCTCCCCTATACATATATAAATTGAGACCCTCCTGTCTAGTCTCAACACATAAATTTTTGCTTCCATTTTGTAAGTCAGTTTGCCAAAAAGTTCTTACAGTGAGAGAGTGTTGCCACGGATTTTGTTCGCTAAGCTAGATAGAGAGTGCTTCTACCATAGCTGGTTTTTGATCGTCGTATCTTCGGAGACAGATGCTGGAATTCCTTAAGCACTTGACCCGTGAAGCGGCAAAAATCTGTTTTAAGGAAACTGCTACCGTGTAGGTTTCGGTTTACTTTTTTTACCATTTTAATCTATTGGGTATTTCTGTTGTAATTTAGTTGTAATTCTTAGCATGTGTTCTTGGTATATAATTTTGATTTATTCGTGAATCTATTTATTTAATTTCACAATTTGGGCAAGAAGCTTAAAAACAGATTTTATGTGTTTCCCCTGAAATTGAACAAATAGATTGATCTAGTAATTTAGATATATGTATATATATACGGTTGCTATTGTTTTGTTCCTTGGAAACTTTGCTGGGTTAGATTTATTCAAATAAATAAATAATTGTTGCTTAGTTGTTTATCTGATGTACATGCTAGTCTTACCAAGATAATGTACATGCTAGTCTTAGCGAGATAATCCATTGACTTTACATATACGACTGTTTGTATGAGGTATCCATGATTAGCCTATTCATTTATGTTTCAAACCCATACTATTTCTTGTATATTAGTGCATGATTAGGATTTTTGGAGCATAGTAAGGCCACTGTAGCATGCTTGCTAATTAAGGGCCTCGTTTTTTTTATTCTTTTATTTTTTTTATTATTCCAATTTAATTTGAATACGTTTCTTTCAAGATCTTTACTAAAGGTTGCATTTTGATTATTCCAGTAGAATTTTATTTTATGAGCATGATTTTCAAATTTCATACCATGATTTGCATGCTTCTTTATTTTCTGTTTTTTGATATAATTTGCATGTATATAAGAGTTCAAATTTAGCTTAGTTACCATTGACATGCAAATTAGTTTTTACAATTCTAGTATAATTAACATGTTCAATAATTTTTCACAATTCTAGTATAATTAACATGTTCAATAATTTTTTACATACCAGTTTAATTCACATGTTTATTATTTTCTAGAATTTTAAGATAATTTGCATATTCTTTATGTTCTAGCTTTTGGTGTAGGTTACATGTTTAATTGCTAGAATTATTTACATGTTTATTGTGAATTAACATATGGCATTTACTTTGAATTTAATTTTAGAGTTATAA